CCTCGTTGTTTGGCAGGCCTGGGCTGGATTCGAACCTGCCACCTTAGGTGTGTGTGGCTGGCGCCTTAGCCACTTGAGCCACAGGCTCCGAGCCTTGGCTTCTTTCTTTGTATTGATCTCTAGGCATGAAATTGGTAGATCAGCAGGCACATACATTTTTAATCTTGGTGGCTGCTGCTGGTGAACTTTAAACTATAGTGTGATACCTTGATTGCGTTCATCAGTGACCTTCACAGGCCCCTGAAACTGGGCTGATTAATAAACATGTTCCTGGCTGAGGCCCTGTGTGTGTTTACAGACCAGCTGCCAGTGAGGAGGAGCTCACCAAGCTGAAGAGCAAGCGGGCCCGGGTAGCCCAGAAGAAGAAGGCCTGGGCAGGGCAAGGGGCCTCTCTGAAGCTCGGTGACCTCATGGTGCTGCTGGGTAAGTATCCTGTCCAGCAGATAGTACAGAGAGGGTCCCCTGGGTCTGGGATGGGGTTGGCGAGTGAGCATGCCCTGGTTTACCCCACAGGTGCTGTGGGAGCCTGTGAGTACACTGGTTGCACACCCCAGTTCTGTGAAACCAATGGGCTGCGGTTCAAGGCCATGATGGAGACACGACGGCTCCGGGGCCAGCTAACCACTGCAGGTATGGCCTCCACCTAACCTGCATGAGTGAACAACTTGACCCAGGCGCTTTTTAATGTTTAAACTTCTTTTGAGCAAGTTTAAAGTGACTTATAGAAGCCATGTTTGCAAATTTGCCCACTGGCTAAAATTTATTTATAACTTAAGATCAATATTCAGGGCCCTTTTATAGTCACAAGTGGACGTGCACATGAACAGAGTGGCGACAGATTTGAACTGCTTGACCTTCATGGTCACCCATCAGGTTGTCCCTCCGTTACATCTTTTCCTTGGCTCATCCTCTGCCTGGATGTCTCTTCCCTCCCAGATGTCCCCAGACTCTTGGACCCTTCTGTGCAGAAGGATGAGGCCTTGCCTCAGTCTCTCCCTGGGCTCAGCAACACTCAGGGGTTCAAGGGAGCAGAGAGACATTCATCACCTTCTGACACCTGCTTAAGGGTATCTTTCCCTGAGTTCAGCAGTTGCCAGGATTTCCCACCAGAACTGATGGCTTTTTCCCAGTGGATACTTTCCCCACTGCCAGGTGCATCCCAGTGGCCTTGTCATTGTGCTGTGTCCCTTTGGCTATGGCTCTCCTAGGTGGTGTCATCCCCAGGTACATCAGCTCCCAGTTGCATTCAGCCACCAGATGGCGCTGATTGTAGCAGGTTGGCGACCTTAGGCATTTATTGTCCCAAGAAAGAGGAGCTGAAGACCAGAGTCAAGCCCAGTGACTTCTCAGAGCTGCAGGGGCCCAGGGCATTTCTGTGCCACTACCTACAGTCACCTCATGGGCGGGGAAGGCAGCAGGAGGTTTAGTCACCTACTGTCCTCCAAGCAGAAGGGAAGGATGGGGCCAGAGGGCACATGCCAGCTGTCGTGCCCCTGGTGCTGAGTGGTCCCAGGAACTCCAGCTGCAGCTTCCATCTTTAGGTCATGGACCAGAACCGAGCTATGGCCACTTGGGCATTCGTACCAGCTGTGTTCTAGCCAAACACTCTGCTACCCACAGAGGAGCTGGGGTTTTGTACCAGGAAAGGAAGAGGGGATGATGTGGGGGCAGCTGTAGTCTTGCTGTTGAGGGTGACCCTAGGGGCAGTGACTAGGGCAAGCTGGTATTTGAGGCCAGAGTGCTGAACTGCATGACTGGGGTCTTCTGCATTCTGGGCAAAACCAGACCTCAGCCCCACTGTCACCACCACCCTCACCCTCGACTCTCCCCCTAGTCAACTCCGTGTGCCCTGAAGCTGAGCTTTTCATGGATCCCAAGATGCAGCCACCCACTGAGAGCCAGGTGACTTACCTGCGACAGATCGTGACAGCTGGTCTGGGCGACCACCTGGCCCGCAGGGTCCAGAGCGAGGAGCTGCTGGACAACAAGTGGAGGAACGCCTACAAGGTGGGGCACCATGGGCACCCACCCAGCTTGGGGCATGGTCAGGGTATCTGGCAGGAGCAAGACCCTAGAGGCACAGGCAGAGGTGCCTGTCCCCTCAGTTACGGGTCCCTGCAGCCTCTGGAAAATTCTTGTCAAGGAGCAAGTGCAGTGTGCACTAGATTCACATCTTCCTTTGGAGGTTAGATTCTTGCCTCCAACTTTTTTTTTTTTATTGTAGAAATAGAGTCTCACTTTATCACCCTCAATAGAATGCCGTGGTGTCACATTGCTCACAGCAACCTCCAACTCCTGGGCTTAGGTGATTCTCTTGCCTCAGCCTCCTGAGTAGCTGGGACTACAGGCACCCGCCACAACGCCTGGCCGTTTTTTTGTTGCAGTTCGGCCAGGGCTGGGTTTGAATCTGCCACCCTTGGTATATGGGGCTGGCACCCTACCCACTGAGCCACAGGTACCACCTCCAACTTTTTTTTTTTAAACACTTAATTGAGATGTAATTCACATACAATAAAATAAACTCACTGAGGCTCAGCACCCATAGCACAGTGGTTACAGCTCCAGCCACGTACACTGTGGCTGGCAGGTTTGAACCCAGCCCGGTCCAGCTAAGCAACAACAACTGCAACAAAAAGTAGCTGGGGGCTCGGCGCCTATAGCTCAACCGGCTGAGGTGCCAGCCACGTACACCTAAGGTGGCGGGTTCGAATCCCCAGCCCGGACCCGCCAAACAACAATGATGGCTGCAACCAAAAAAAAATGGCCAGGCGTTGTG